AAGAAAGGAGCTGGCACTAAAGTTGATGTAACTGCCAAGAACAGCTGACAGGGGATGCGAAAACAAAGTAAGTAAGAAAGACATGCAGAGATGTGGAGTGACTGGAACTCTTGAAGGAAAAAAAGAAAACATTATTTGTGATGCGATGGAAGAAGCAGAACCAGAGAGGTGCTTCAGTTACATAATGCTAATGGCAGCTAGATGAATGGGGTAATTTCTGTGCTTGTGCTTCGTACAGATTAGGAAGAGCTAAAGAACAGAAAGAGGCAACAGTCAAGCTATTGAGCTAAAGGTAGAGGCTGTCAATCTGTAGAAGGCAGCTAAATACTTTACTGGTATAACAAAATACAAGAAAAACAGGGCCATGTAATGCTATTATCAGTTTAATAAGTGATTGTCAGTTTATATTTGACTGAACCAGATAACAAATCCTTTTGAGGTTGGTAGCGAAAGTGCCTCTATCCTGAAATCACCCAAGGGGTGGAGTAAAAACACTGCAGCAGGCCATGCTGCTSTCCCTCGTGCCTGTTTTCCACCTCTTTCTAGGGTCCCTCCATAGTCCTGGCCTCACTATTAAAAGGAAAATAATATCCTGCTGAATGAAAGAGGAAGAGACTGGTGCACGGTCTGAACTGACTGCAAAGGGAGGATACCKCTACCTAATAATCACTGCCCAGTTCCCATTACAAAATATCTTATCAAAAGGAATCACATTTTATCATATATTAATCACATTTAATCACATATTAAACACAGTGATGATACAAACAATAACCTATCTGAAATGCCTATTAATCTGTAGATYTTACTAAATTTGTCTAAATGAACTCTAAATGTCCTCTTCTGAGTTAACATCCAAGACAGATTTTTACAAAGATTCAGCTTAGAGCAGGGACATCAGGAGGTGCAAGCTGATAACCTATCCAATGCCAATTTCATAAACTGGGTTATTAAAATAATACCATCCATGGACAAAAGCCATGTTGTGRAGTTACGTAATATGTGAAACAATAAAGAGCAAGACAAAATGCAAACTTCTCTCAGAACCTGAGGCATCTGTGCACAGGAGTTCTCAAAGTGAACAGTTGCTTATGCTGGGTTGAACTGAATATGGCCTATGTGACACTACTCTGAATTTAGACAAAGATGGATTCTTGCAATGAGACCTTAAAGCATTCATTTAGTTTTAAAGACCAGGATGCCTGCAGATAATGAAGAACACATGTTGATCCAGAATGTTATTGAATACTTCTYCTGGCAGGCATTTTACAACTTGCATTTTGAAACACACAGATGCAGCTGTAGTTTAGGGACTATATTGCAGGAAGMAATGACTGAAAGAGATGTGAAGACAGGGTGGAAAATTGGTTAGCTGGAAAAGCAAGATTCAGCTTTCCAAACCCACAGGAAAGACCACGACAGAAAACCCACTGTAAGTTCAACACGAAAGACCTCGTTTCTCTTCTCACAGGGTTTTCATTTCCCACTGAACTCTAGTTTCAGCAAAAGCCCAGGAGACTCTGCCTGTTGAAGATACTAAGTGAGAGGTTAAGTGGTATATGTTGCAGTAACAGAAASAGATTCCCAGGCAGTTGGACAGAACTGAGATTTTCAAACCATGCTTGCCTTAAAGCAGGCAAACAGCTCTGCCCTCCTGCACAGAAGTGCTTATTTTACCAGAAATGTGGTACAAAAGAATTATCAATTTATCARTCAAAGATAAAAGAAGATCCAATGGAGAGAAGGTAGAAGCTAGAAAACCAGTACTGCAAATCAAGTCACATTTTTAAGAGAAAGATGACTGACCATGGAAACAATTTGTAATTATTTGATGCACTCTACATGATTGTTTATTTTTAATTAAAATTAGATGCTGTTCTGAAGACAGTGTACCAGTTCTCCTTTCCTACACAGTCAACAATGGCCTTAGCCTGTAGCACCTTCCTATTTATATGTATTTTTTAAACAATATTCTGCTACCATCTAACCTGGTTTTGCTACTAAGAAAGGAAACAAAGTTGGTCTCAAGTCTCTGTGGCTGAGATACTCGCATTCATTTATTTAATTATTTACTTTCTCTGCCTAAAATGCAGTTGAAAAACATAAGCCATATTCAGTGAACAAGGGATATCCTGGTAATGTAAGGTGAGAAAGTGTAGCTGGACTGATTACACAATGTTAGATCAGATGTAAGTCTTCTTGACATAAAATCAACCTGAGTGGATGCTGAATCATCTGGTTGGAAATTAGGTCAAATTTACTTAGTTGTTCTTTCCAGACTAGCAGAGCAAGAAAARGCACTGTATTTGTTGATATATTTGACCCTGAGGTTGCATTCGTGTCAAAACCTGTGTGTGGCATGCCTCCCACCTACTCCCTTTGCGCAGTGTCCTCCCAAAGGCTCTGCTAGGAGCCTGCAGTGCTCCAAGTATCCCAGTATGCTCTGTAGTAGAACAGAAAATTCCTTTTGATCCTTGGGTTACAGAATAATCCATCTGCAGAGGATCACTGTCACCAAAGCTTGTGTAGTCAGGTCTGCTCTCAACTGAGATTTTTTGTTTTTGCTCAAATATTGCTAAAAATTAAAGAATAAAAATGGCCATTAAGGACAAGACATAGTTCTCTTACAGGACTACTCCTTAAGAGAAGACAGAAACATAACAGAAAATGTATCTCCTGCATTCTCTCTCTTTTTTTTTAATGATATGTATTATCCCTAGATCAGGAATATAGGACTGATTCTGATGCAGTCAAACTGAAACTCTGCCCCATTCATTAAGCAGCTTATGTGAGATTCTCAGGAGCTCAGTATGTTAGTGATGATATTTCATACATGAAATGAGAATGAAAGATCAGCTGTAGTGCTTGCTTAGGAATTTCAAAGGGGAAATRCAGATGTACACTGAATATCTTACCAAGTCTTTTTCTAAAACCACATATTCTTATGTACTTTAATACTACTACTTATCATCTTACAGAATATTAAAAAGAGTTTGTCAAAAGGCAGCTTTCATTGCACATTTTGGTGGTTTATGTAATTATCTTAGAATATCTGAGTTGCAAGTATTTCACCAGAATGATCATGCACTTGCATTTTAAGGTAACATTCACAATGGAATTTTTATACCGAAGCTCAAATACACTTCTGAGAACCAAATTTGAAAGTATGTTTGCCCTGRTAATTCCTACTTGAGAAAACACAGCTAAAATTGATAAGTGGGGGCRGGGAAAAAAGAAAAGAGGGAGAGAAAGAAGGAAATGAACAAAACAGGCTAAAACAAGTCTCCTCGGCTAGAACTAGGTTACTGGGCCTTAAGGGTAGTAACACAGCTTGCACTTGTAAGCAATAACCTTGTCCTTAATGGGGGTGGAGTGAAGCAGTTGAGACAACTCACTGAACCAGAATGTGGAAACTTACAGGAGCGCCCGACGCGTGCAGCGCAGAGTCACCGCGCCTGGGCCAGGGCTCCCTCGGCCTTGCCTTCCTCCGGCAGCGTCACCGCGGCCCCTCTCAGGCCTCCAAGAAGCCACAGAGACGCGGCTGAAGGCGCCACGGCTCCTTTTTTATCTCAAGCACTTAATATACTGGAATCTCCACCCTTCAGGGCCACATCTGTGTGTGTGTATATATATCTTTGCTTCCTGGTTGTTTTGCACAGCAGCWCAAACTCAAAGGAACGAGTATTTGTAGCCAGGTGTGGCCAGACCAATTGCGAAGATGTAAAACTAAAGGCAGGGTAAAGGAGCAAGGAGAAGCGCCCTCTCGCCGCTGGAAGGTGCCGCAGGAGGTGCGGGGCGGCAGCGCGGCGCTGTGGGCAGGGAAGCACGGGCGGGTCTCGGAGAGGGCTGCGGACCGCCCGGCTCCCCCGGGCGCTGCCCCGCGGCTGCCGCTGACAAGCAGCGCCCCCGCGCACGGCGCCGCGCGGCGCCCAGCGCTTCGCTCCCCGCGGGGCGGCGGGCGGCGCTCGGACGGACCCGCCGCGCGACGGGCCCCGCTCCGCGACTCGCTCAGCGGCCCCACACCACCTCGTCCCGCCCCCGCGGCCGTTACCGGCGTCGCCCCGCCCCAACGGCCGTAGCCGTGGCAACACTGCCCCGCCCCCGCGGCCGTTACCGGCGTCGCCCCGCCCCCGCGGCCTTTGGCAGCCCCGCCCCAACGGCTGTAACCGGCGCACGCGCCGCCCCGCGGGCCGTTGGCGGCCGCGCCCGGCGGTGCCGCGTGACTCTCGGCCGCTTGCGCGCGGCGCCATGGAGCGGAGCGCGGCTGCGGT